ACCCACTACCAATTTGATGTATGTGCGCCACCCCTTTAAGGATCGGCCAAATAACCATTTATTTCATGTTGACCTGATCCAGGAAAATACTTTTGCTTTTTTTTAAATTTTAAATAAATTTGTTAAATTTTCAATATTTGAAAAAAGAAATTTCGCAATTTTTTGATCTAATCGGAGAGACAAATCGCACATAACAAGATTATACTGCGCAACTGCACAATAGCTTTTCAAATGGAAGAGGGGATCGAAATGTGAGTGAAATTTGGCAACACTGCTGGGAAAATTTCTCTTTTGTAAATTTATACAATATACTCTTGTGAAAATGGAATAAAACTCAGCGACTAAAAGTTCAGTTCCAAATTCTGTCAATCCGAAATCTTACCACCCCAACACTTCCACTCTTTTCCTCTTTTTTCTGAAATAAAGCATGTTTTTGTTTCCGCCACAAATTTTGGGAGGAAAACGTGATGCGTTACTTTCCTGTCCTAAGCCTAAAATTCTGTCTTTCTCACCTCCCACTCCGTCACTGTTTTTTATCCCTCAATAAACCGTTTCAAAAATTTTCTTATCCTAAATCGGATACAACTATACCAGGTCCTTCCATCCCGTTCTGCGTACTTCAGTTATAACCACTGCCTATTCGATGCGTGTGTGTCATCTTTTTGTAGGCCAATCAACTATTAATTACTTCCTAACCAAGTATTTACGAAATATTTGTTATTATTTCTTTATTAATTATTAATAATACGCGTCTTTCAATCGTATGTCCAAATTTTGCACAAGAGTCAGTAACTGAAAAGATTCTGACAAGGAAAAACGATTCAGTTATCATCGACTTTTCAGTTCAGTTCCGGAATATCAAAGTCGTCCGGCTTGACACTCCGGGTACCCATGTTAGTGATGTTACTGAGATGCTCTTACACACAGGAATAGTTGAAATGAAAAGAGCAGAGAAAAGCATACCAGGTGAATTTTTGATGCGGCAAAGAAGTGTTCCCTGGCATAGTTCAAGAACCATACAGATATTGATTGTATCTTCGAAATAATTGTAAAATTTCAGAACATTTGGATGGTTCAGTGACTGATGTATTATAATCTCTTTTCGTATCTTCTCCCATTGCGCTTCACGGGTCAAACGACTTTTTCGGATAATTTTCAGTGCCACTTTCAAGGAAGATGGTTTCTCGCACGCAGCAAAGCAGGAAGCAAACCCTCCCTGAAATTGTAAAGTAAAATAATTCCTCTTTTTACACTGCAGCATTGCAGTAAATTGCAAAATTTTTCAGAAGCGCCACAACGACCACGGTATGGTATTCTCACATCTATCAAAACTTTTACTGTGTATAAAACGGCTTTTCAAAAACTCGGAGTGATTTATATCTGCTGCACAATATGATTTGAAAAGAAAATTCCACCACACCCAAACTTACTGCATCTGTTCCCAGTAGCGATGAAAAAACTCAAAAACTCGAATTTTGTTTGAGAAAAAACTAAAAATTTTAATTTCCTTTTACTAAAATTATAATTCCTTTTCAATATTTACTGCCAGAATTTGCCAAAAATACTGGAATCGTTCGGGCAATCAAACAGGAATTTCCCCACAACACATAAATGGTTTAATTGTCACAATAAATTACCTTGCCCAGAAATGCTGTTGATGCATAATGGCACCGTTTACGTGAATCGTATAGCAAATCGGGCAAATTTTCCGAAGAATCGTCGCCATTTGAAGAGCACGGTTCCAGCTGTTCGAAATTTGATGGCATAAACTGCAAAAAAAGAAAACAAAAAACTCCATAACAAAACCATAAAATTGACTCAGCGAAGCTTTCACATTAATGAGTTGGGATAAGCAGACTGTAGCAATCAGGTTGATCCTCGAAGCCTAAATGGCGAAGGCGTGATAAATTACAATATAAGGAGAGAAGAGTGAGATAAGAAGTTTCGGTCCATTAAGTCATATACGCCTTAACTTAACACCTCGACAGAACTTCGTCAGTGTAAGTTGAAAAATGTGGATAATGAACAAATATTATGAAGCTTTCTGGCCATCTCGCGGTAGCATTAGGTACCTCAGCATCTGTAGATCAGCACATTTAAATATCGTACAGACAATTCCTAACACACCAAACCTTAAAAGTAATGCCAATAGTTAAAAGCTCATCGCAAATAAAATTTCCCATAAGAAGCAGTGGTACAACTCGAAAGCAGCTCGACTGGTACCAACTGCCAACAATAATTACCGCTGGCAAGACTATCGATGGCTCCATTTTTCGAACGTTTCCCAGGGGTAAAATGATGACAGTTTTTAGACTCACTGCGCAAAAATCACTATCATTTTACCACTATCAGTTCTTAATATTACTTGTACGTTACAATCACGCTAAAATCAGCTTATCGCGGAACCAATGAACTAATCGCAGAGGGACTGATTTTCGCTCTGATAAAATCGAATTGACCTTCAGCACGACAACAGTAAACCAATTTATAGGCAA